TTGAAACCCTAACAAGACTTTCATCTTAGAACCATTATTTCTTAATGGACTTGGATAAGGGCAATGTAAAAGAATGGCTTTGCTTTGCAGCATTGCGGCATGCGGTAATGACTCGTCATTAGCGCGTTGGGCTTTGCTTTGCTGAATCATTACACATGTAGACATTTAAGGCATTTCCAGTGTGACTTGATTGTTTTCTTGAAGCACATTTCGTGTTTTATCTTATGCTAAAGCAACATAGATTTTTTCCTCCCACTTTCATGTATCTTTATTATGATTCTTTCTACTTGACCATCCAGTAAAACTATAATAAATGAGATCATTCACACACACGTACACACACACACACACACACACACACACACACACACACACACACACAAACTCTTTCAACTACATAATCCCAAAGCAACCCTACTGCTCAGAATGCTACTCTTCTGGCTCTCAACTGCTGCAAACGCTTTGTCCCACAGTTCTGTGAGTTGACGCAGATCAGCTGGATGGCACTGAGAGTCTCTCATGCAGGTCCTCACTCATATGTCTGGCAGGTTGAAAGAGCTGGGACAAATGGCCTGGCAGGGTCTCTATCTCCCTCCACATGACTTCTCCATGAGGCCAGCTTGAGCTTTTTCTTCCATGAGGCAGCTGGCATCCCTCAGAGCAAATATGGAAGAGGACCAAGTAGAAGCTGTGAGGCTTCTTATGATCTAGTCTTAGAAGTCTCAGAACATTACTTCCCCGCACTGTGCTGGTCAAACAAGTCCCCAGGGCCCATTCAGATTCAAGGGGAGAAGGAGATTGTTCTCAGTGGCAGGAGTAGTAAAGTATTTGAGGCCATTTCAAGATACTTGTTCCTATTCTAGGTTAAATCTAAAAGAACTATGGCTCCAAAAGATTAAGAGACTTACTTTGGAGAAGGACAGAGGTTTTCCAGTCCAGTAGTAAGTAGTCTTTACACTATGCCATGGTGCCTTGTCTAACATAGTACCTATTTTTCTGTTCATTCTGGCATAGAGATGTGAGTGGTAAGGGGGAACCCGTCGAATAAGTTCTGTGCCTTCCTAAATTATTCTAAGTTTAAGAACCTTCAATCCAGATGGAGATGTTGTAGGCAGCATAGAAGTCTCTAGTTGCCTCTTTCCTCCCTTGTCTAGATATGGGTGATTTCATTGTTACAATAACATTTAAGTAGACAAATATGATCTTTGCCTAATTTAATACTTTAGGATTATCTCAATACTCTGTTTTAATTAGCACTCATGTCACAGGGTTGAAATTCACATCCACATAATTGCTCACATACTTTAGTCCTATAATTTTCCCTATTTCTCAAATTGATCTTAATAGCTCAAAGAAATAGCATGCAGGTAGAAATGCTTGATTTTAACTCATGGGACAATTTGACACCTGCTAATTAGGCAGGTTAAACTGAGGCATTAGTTAACATGTTTCTTTGGCTCATGAAATGATGGTTCTTTTACCTGGAACTCTTTGAATTATCATCCCTTCTCTAGGATCGACATGTATGTGGAGGGCTTAAAGGATCTGAGTGACATGATTATGTTCTTTCCACTCTCTCTGCCTGAAGAGAAGGAGATGAATCTTGAATATATCCTTGAAAGAGCCACTACAAGATTCTTCCCTGTCTATGAGAAGGTAAGCAACAAACTTCTGCCCTGCTCTATGACATGGATCAAGCGGGAGAAAAAACAACTAAACTAAAAATAAAGAACTTTATTGGTGGATAAACATCCCAAACACACTTTGTGAAAGCAAAATTCTTCCCCCAATTACCATTATAAGACAAATCTGCCCTCCCTCCTCTCACCCTAGTCTTCTGCATTATATATTTTTAAGGATTTCATACATAATTCCAGCAATATTTATAGTCCTAGTGCTGACAGAATTTCAGTTACTTGATTTAATTATGGAGTAAAACAGAGTCTTATAAAGAGGATTCAAGGGGGAAAATTCCACACTAATTAGAGAGGAAGGGGTGGAAAGGATGGATGTTACTTCTGAAATACACTGGATAGTACAGGGCCCAGGGCAGTTCATAAGGCTTATCAGAATTCTATACAATATTCTAAAAGTTAAGAAAAAAATTGTTCTAGAAATAACACTATTTTCATCTATCTCTGCATTTTTAACAGCTGAAAATAATGTCTGAAAACCTTGAGTTTTAAGCAAATGCTCAGTGTCAGCCCTAATACAAGGATCGGATGACTTCTTTAGTATCAATGCACTTGACCTCCAGCTGCATTCATTATAATATCAGTCAACATAGGAAAGCATCATGAAAAATGTTAAGGTTTTGGTAAAAATGAGACAGGTCAGTTTTCCAAACCTACCAGCAATGCTGATTTAACCCATTCTTTATGAGTTGAGTACCAATGGTTATAATTGAAGGATTTAGTACATACATGGAAATATATTTATCATATTAACAATTTTATAGTCTAATCATATAACGTAGATTATTTATTTGATGTTTATGTATTTAGAATAGATGACTGATACTCTAACTTCCTAGGTTATATTTTTTCATTTGTTACAGTGAGTTATCAGCCCCCTTGGTCCAAGATGGAAGGCAAATCAAACTGAACAGTCTACACCTCAGGCTTTCTCAGTATGATTCCTTCAAAATCATTTAAAAGATAGTCTCTGGGGCATCTGGGTAGCTTAGTTGGTTAAGCGTCTGACTTTGGCTCATGTCATGATCTCATGGTTTGTGAGTTTGAGTCTCACGTTGGTCTCTGTGCTGACAGCTTTGAGCCTGGAACCTGCTTCAGATTCTGTCTCCCTTTCTCTCTGCCTCTCCCCAGCTTGCACTCTGTATCTCTCTCAAAAATATATAAATGTTAAAAATTGTTTTTAAAAAGATAATCTATTCTGATGTAATTAACATATAATTTAAGAGATCTTGATCTTATAATTTTACTAATATTGGTAATGGAATCAATGTTTAACACCACTATTTCCAATGACCTAAGTGTTTGTTGTGGGGTGCTATGAAGAACAGAGACTTCTCTGGTGGCTAAAAATCAACAACAATGAGTCAGCAGCATCAACAACATCATCATCACCAAAACAGTGTTAATCATATGATGGCTCATTTTTGCTTTGTGCCTACTTTGTGCTAATCACTGTGCTATGCATTTTGCTTACATGATTTCATGTAATCTTCAGAACTCCATCAAAGATGTGACATTGTTATCCTCATTTTGCAGATGAGGCAATCAGAGCTTAAAGAAGCAAAGTAACTTGTCCAATGTCATACAACTAATAACATTGACACCTACAGTCAGGTCTCTCCAACTTCTGATCCCATGTCCAAGCATCACAAAATCACAGAGGGTTAGAGCTAGAAAATACTTTAGTGACCTACTACTCCAACCTTTAATATTCAGTTGATTTTTAACACAAAGTGACCCATAAGTCAGAGCTTTATTAGAAGAAAATTTGTGGGGTGCCTGGGTGACTCGGTCGGTTGAGCATCTACTCTTGATTTCAGCTCAGGTCATGATCCAAGGGTCATGGGATCAAGCCCCATATCAGGCTCTGCACTAAGCACCAAGCCTGTTTGACATTCTCTCTCTTTTTCCCTCTGCCCCTTTCCCTCTCTTGCACACACACTCTCTCTAAAGTAACATAAAAAATTTTTTAAAGAGAAGAAAATCTGCTTATAGATGAGGTGTATGTCCCTTTGAGAATCGTGTTCTCCTTCAAAGAGCAACAAATCTAAGGAGCCTGCCCTGAGATGGTGTGAGGAGAGAATTATCATCGCAGACCCAGGAGAACCACCAATCCAGGCTGTGGGGATAAAATTATTCTATAAAGGTTCATAGAGTACATACAATGGAAAGAAGACAAAGGCGTATGTGAGATTAGGCTGTTTCTGGTGTTCAGAATACTCAGGAGGATTCGGACTAGTCCACTTCTTTCGATGAACAAACCAAAGCCCTCAGAGATGGGATTTATTTGTGCTCACACAGCTAGCCAGTGGCCAAGATTAGGAACCACACCTTTTTTAAAGACTTTCTGCCAATCACACTGACTTTAAATTGCCTTGCTAGTATAATCCCTAAATCCTCTAATTCTTCTCAACTATCACGCAGGCACTAAGAGACAATGGGCAAGATTTTCTTGTGGGCAACCGGTTGAGCTGGGCTGATATACAGCTCCTTGAAGTCATCTTAATGGCTGAAGAGTGCAAACCCAGTGTCCTCACAGGCTTCCCTCTGCTACAGGTAACGCTCTCCAAATAGCTCCCAAGAACTGCAGGAAGAATGAATTTTTATCATTTGCTTGTTCTTTCTTTCAGTCATTCTAATTCTTATTCTCATTCTCATTAGCATTTAAGAACTTACTAACTTCTTTTTGCCAAGATACAAAGACACTCTCAAAGAACACATCAAGTGGGTGAGACAAGCACATAGACAGGTAACCTCAGTATAAGGTAGTGATTTTAAAAATAAAGAGAGATACGGGAAAATAGAGAAGGGCATGTGGGCCAGCACGTGGATCTGGGGCAGACTTCTGGCAGGACTCAAGTCTCAAAGGTTTTGCCCAGAATGTGGCAGGACCTCAATAAAATGGCTTTCTTGCTCCAGATAAGGTGATGGGAAAACATTGAAGATACTCTCGTCCTAACACAGCCATTGTTTAGCAGTAACCAGAGCCAGTGACTATACTCGCAGGTGCTAAGCATTGTACCAAGCACTGAATGCACAGTACTTCATTGATTTCATTTCATCCTCAAAGTGGATAGGAAAGGACTCCAAGGGGTCAGAGAACTTTCCTTCAAGTCACACTGTCAGTAGGTGACAGGACTGGTGTACAAACTCTCAGCCTGACTGATTCCATGGCCTGCATTCTAAGACACTTTGCTATGTTGGTGGATTCCTTTCTAACCTTTTAAATATATGCTTATTTAAAATAGTTGTAATCCAAGTTATGGTAATTCTGCAGCCTCCATGTCCCACTTCACATTACATTATGTGCATGTTTTGGTATTATTATTTAGTCTGCCTCATTTTATACAATATGGTCTTATATTTTTTGAACAATTTTCATGACGATATAATATTCCATTTACTGTGCTCCAAATAACTTATTATTTTTCATTTATTTTTGAGAGCGAGAGAGGGAGAGCATGAGCAGGGGAGGGGCAGAGAGAGAGACAGAGACAGAGAGACAGAGAGAATCCCACGCTGGCTCCTCGGTGTCAGTGCAGAGCCTGATGCAGGGCTCGATCTCGTGAGATCATGACCTGAGCCAAATCAGGAGTCTGACACTTAACCCACTGAGCCACCCAGGTGCCCCAGAATAACCTAAATAGTGAACATCATAAACAACTTAAATATTCAATATCTGAGGAATGTCTACATAAATTAAGATACATTTATCGGGTAGAATTTTATGCAGTTACCTAAAGGTATATTTTCAAAGATTACGTTACAACATGGAAAAAATGCTTAGGACATAAAATCCTTATGACATAAGGACTTCTATTTATTAGTTATATATCAGGATACTCTGGAGTATTTGCTTTTATGAATAATGTTGCAACAGCATCTTCATGGGTATAAATTTTTCCACATTTAAGATGGTATCACTAGGCTGCAATCTGAAAAATGGGGTCACTTGGTTATAGCCTATGAACATTGTCGTGGTTCTTGAGAAATATTGCTAACTTGCTTTGTACAAGTCATCACTTTGTAAGCCACATCAGGTACGAAAATTCCTTTTTCTCCTCTACCTCTCCCAGCGTGAGAAATATAATTTTTAAACACTTTGTCTCATATGCAAAAATGTACAACGCTTATATTTTGTCTATTTTGCCATATTCTCTTTTAATGGATTGTATACTTCTGCATTTTAGGAGTTCAAGGCCAGAACCAGCTGCATTCCCACAATTCACAAATTTCTCCAGCCTGGAAGCCAAAGGAAGCCTCCACTAGATGAAGGCTCCATTGAGACCGTGAAGAACATATTCAAATTTGAACGTGGCATGTTTCTTAAAAACATGGCTACTATAGTAGCTGAGTATTAACAAATCAAGAGGTCTAATGGACTCCACACGTTTCACTTCACATTTGTAGGCATACCCAAAAAGGTATCGTAAGGTCAAGTTGATAAAGATAAGCAAAAGGAAATAAACTACCTAACATTTGCCTGCAAATCAGACAACACTTTTTCTGTGTGTGTGTGTATGTTTATAAAACAGTAAAACACCAATCCATCAGAATCATCCAAATAAAGATTCTTCTCCATTCTACTTATTGCAAAAGAGTAAAATCCTATGTAAGTCAACGGGTATCAATGACTTCTTTAAAAAAGGAAAAACCCCACGTAAATACCAACCGTCATACATTTCCACATCCTTTTGGGGGAAGGTCTAGGACAGAGCATAGCTTCAAACTGGTTTCTTAAGTGTTCAGTCACTAGAGTATTTTATAGATAGAGCATATATTTTTATCACTAAGTTCACATTTAGTTTCTTCTTCAGTATCATAATCATACTTTGAGTGTAAACTGTTGTCGGTCCAAATCTGAAGGGTCTTTTCAACCATCTCTATAGTCAGCAAATGCATAGAGCACCCTAGTGATAACCACTTTTTCCAACCTTGCCTGTGGTAACAACCTCTTTGCACCATTAGGATAAATGGGATTTCTTTTAAAAAGTAGAATATTTTTAAAGTATATCCAAGGATTTTGTCTGGGTTTTCTATTTGGTTAAACTGGTAGCTTCCTTCCTTCCTTCCTCCCTTCCTTTCCTCCCTTAACTGAATTACTTATCACTGGAAGTCTAATAACTTCACTGAAAGTCAGCTGGGAAAGGCAACTGAACACAACCGTATCAACTCTGCTCTTCTCAGTCGGGACTCCACTCCCCATCTCGTGCAAAGAGTGGGTTTGAGATCTGAGATCACTGAGTAGGAGCAATAGGATCAAAATTGAAGACTTTGAGAGCTTTAAGGGATCTTTTTCACCGTTTAGTCCAAATTCCTCCTTAAGGATGAGAAACTGAGACCCGGAGAGAGGAAACGACCTTCCAAAGAACATACAACCTGCCTGTGGGAGGACTGGTCTGAAACTCAGGTTTCTTGATGTTCCGTCTGGGGCCTAAAAGTAAGTGCCTTGGACATTAAGTCATGACTGTTCCTAAAAATGATGTGGTGATTTGGGGACAAAGTCATTTTTGTTTTAAAACTATTACTGTCTCAGTGAGAGAGAGTATCTGCTCCTGAGGAAGAGTTCTGGCTTAAAAAAACCTCCTTTCCAATCACTTTCATTAATAATTGAGCATTTAAATGTTAAAAATCATTTGGGAATATATAGAGAGGACACTAAGATGAGAGAACCAGGTTTAAAACAGAATGCATTTTATTTGGATACTGAAAGCATTGCGTCAGTATGCAGAGTGTGCTGAGAAAAAATACCACTGGCAGCAGTACAATCAAAATGGAAGAAATATACTTTCTAACATAACACAAACGACAAACGGACCCATCAGTATTTTGTAAAGTTCACTTTGGGCACTCCATTATCTGATAACTGGCAGTTTAATTTAAACTTCAGATACCAGTAGGTGGAATTATCAAAAAATAAAACACTCCACACATATAAAAACTAGACGCAGCAAATGAAAGAGAGTATAATGATTTAGTAAATATTTTTAATGAAACTATTATCGGATAAGTAGAAAAACAGTCGAGGTTTTATTTTAAAAAAATAATCCCTCAAACTAGTGTTCATATTGAAGGTTTCTGTTGTTTCTAATGTAGATTAAGACACTTAACATTCCATGCTGGAGTTTATCCTTTTTTTTAAGTTTATTTATTTAATCTGAGAGAGAGAGAGAGCACAAGTGGAGAAAGGGGAGAAAGAAAGAGAGAGAATCTCAAGCAGACTCCACACCATCAGTTGCAGAACCTGACGCGGGGCTCGAACTCACGAACTGCAAGATCATGGCCAGAGCTGAAGTCAGATGCTGAACCGACTGAGCCACCCAGGCACTCCTGAAGTTTAACTTTGAAATACTAAGTGTATGCTCTGCCCGTTACAGTAGAATCCCATGAATTTAGTTTTCAGTTCCTCCAGATTTTCAGAGCAGCAGTATGACAAGTCTCAGAATCATCATGAGGCTGGATTAAAGTAAAAGGGCAAAGGTCAGGTCACACTTACATGGCATAAGACAGGTTCATATATTCACCAAACCTGTACTGTTAGGAAACTTTGGCTTCCAGGATTCTCTCTTGCTTCTCCTTGGAGCAGGAGTGATCTCGTTATCCCTGTAAAGGAACTTCTCAGACCTGGCTGAATTAGCTACTTAAAAATGTTGATTGATTGCATGAGCCAAATCAGTACTCATTGTTCTGAAAATCTGGGATGAGCCTTTATAAGAGAAAGGTTTGAAAAGAAACACAAATCTTTCATAAGCTAGTGAAGGCACATGGCTTGAAAAAACAGGGGCACCTGGGTGGCTCAGTCAGCTAAGCGTCTGACTTCAGCTCAGGTCATGATCTCACAGTTCATGGGTTTGAGCCCCGTGTCGGGCTCTGTGCTGACAGCTAGCTCAGAGCCTGGAGCCTGTCTTTGCATTCTCTGTCTCTCTCTCTCTCTCTCTGACCCTCCCCTGCTCGCGCTGTCTCTCTTTGTCTCTCAAAAATAAATAAAAAACAAAAAAAGAAAATAAAAGAAGAAAAAATAATCAAGGAGCAATTCTGGGGTGTTATTATTATAATCTCAGCTACTTTCTGTTGATTGGGGCCTTGTCTTCTTGACCCATGAATCCTGCTTCTGATTCTTTCTATCACTAAATATCATTTTTAGAACACAGCCATCACTGGAAGGCAGTACTTTCTAATCACATTCCTCTCTGACACCCACCCCCAATCAAGCCATAAACTTTATACATAGCCACACCAGAAGTTTATATAGCAAAGTAGAAATTACTCATTGCATTACCACCTAGTGATAAACACTATTTAACAGTTTCAAGTATTTCCTTCCTATCTTGGTTTTTAATACAGAAACTTTTGAGATCACACTATATTTGGTTGTTTATTATGTTTTCATCTTCTATTGTGTCATTAAGATTTTCTAATGCCACTAAATAGTTTTTGAAAACGGTACATGTAATGCCTGCTCAGTAGTTCATTAAGTAGACAAAACATGTATTGAAACATTTCCTTATTGGTGAAATTTTTAAAAAATGTTTTTTTATTTTGAGAGAGACAGAGAGAGAGGGAGGGAGGGACAGAAAGAGGAAGTGAGAGAATCCTAAGCAGGCTACATGCTGCCAGCACAGGGCCAGACATGGGGCTAGAACCCATGAACCATGAGATCATGACCTGAGCCAAAATCAAGATTTAGATGCTTAACCCACTTAGCCACTCAGGCACTCCTTAAGTTGTTTCTAATTTTTTAATTCACCATTTGTTCCATTAGAAATAAAGTTGCAGGGGCACCTGAGTGGCTCAGTGGGTTAAGCGTCCAACTCTTGATTTTGGCTCAGGTCATGATCTCACGGTTCATGGGTTCGAACCCTGTGTTAGGCTTAGTGCTGGCAGTGTGAAGCCTGCTTGGGATTCTCTCTCTCTCTCCTTCCCTCCTCCTCTCTCTCTCTGTCAAAATAAATAAATATATATTTAAAAAATAAAGAAAAACAGGGCACATGGATAGCTCAGTCGGTTGAGTGTCCAACTTCAGATCAGGTCATGATCTCACAGTTGGTGAGTTTGAACCCTACACTGGTCTTGTTACCGTCAGCCTGTCAGCAGAGAGCCTGCTTCAGATCCTCTGGCCCCCTCTTGCTGCCCCTCCCCCACTTGGACTCTCTCAAAAATAAATAAATATTTTTTTAAAAAAAAAGAAAGAGAAAGTTGCAATAAGCATCAGTCTTTGTATATATTTCATTATTTCTTTGGAAATTCCAAAGTAAAAAAGTAAAAATGTGTAACAAAGGAAATGAATATGTTGAAGGCTTTCAACATAATAAAGGCAGCTTTTAGGAAAAATTAAAAATGTTACCTGTAAATTTTTACTTGGTAATATGCTTAATATCATGGATAGAATTACTAGGATCAAATTAAGGGAAATAAGAGGCTCCCTGTTACCTTTTTAAAAAATACTAACTTTCCTCCCTTAAAAACTCAAAAAAAAAAATATAGCAGACTACCATTCTGTCTAATGCTCTAAGAGAGACTAAGTATCAGATGAGTAAATCTTGAGGAAAAATGAGGCTGAATTTAGTTCTTTATTCTGAAAAAGGTAGGCAAGTACTTGTGATCAGACACTATAGAAACCCAATGAGTCCTCCACAAAAATGTTCATAGGTACATCAATACCAAAGATTGACTGGATGTATGATATCTTAAGGTTTTACGGTCATGTTTATTGTCATAAAACTTACTTTGACCTTTCAAATGAAAACTGACTCCTGCCAAAAAGTCAGCACTTCAAAATAATGGCAAAAATCAGCACTTCAAAATAATGGCAGAAGAAAGTAGAGATCAAAATAGTTTTTCTTACCTTAAACCTGCAACCAGACCAGCTGGCATGATTTTCTTGGATCTCTTATATCTCACGCCCATTATGGTGGCCAGGAAGAAAGCTGTAACTACAAACCAACCAAACCAAGGCATGAACTGCAGTTGCAAACACATTCTCAATGCTTGCTTATATTTAAAAAAAATGTGTGTCATTTGAGCTTTAAAAAAATTTTTTTTTAATGTTTATTTTTGAGAGAGAGAGAGTCAGAGCATGAACAGGAGAGGAGCAGAGAGAGAGAGAGGAGACACAGAATCCAAAGCAGGCTCCAGGCTCAAACTCATAAACTACAAGATCATGACCTGAGCTGAAGTCGGATGCTTAACCAACTGAGACACCCAGGTGCCCCTATTTCAGCCTTTTGATATAACAACTACTGTGTGTAAGTACTGAGTTGCTATCTTCTTGAAAAGATAAAGTGCTCTATTAAAAGACTTTATGAACTAGCTTATTAAAAAGGTGTTGAGCAAATAAGGATGTTAAAATCTATTCCTGAAAGATCTTTAAAAGAAGAAGTCTTGGTTTAACTTAAATATCTAGAAACTCCTGGAAGGCTAGGATTGTGTCTTCCTCAACTTTCTTCAGGAACACTAGGCGGTATGTCTGGATCCACAAGGG